AACAGTAAAAGCATTTTCTGAATTGTAATGCTGTTTGCTAAGCATCCTTTGACCCATCTCAGGGCATTTTTCTTTTCTGTATCCTGTGCTGTGCTGGGCTGAATCATCAGCTAGGATATGAGAAAGGAATAGATAATATTTGACTACAGCTGCTGTCATCAATGGGGAAATTTTCCATTAGGGGGACAACATAAGTAGAATCTGGACAGTGATGCTTTTATACATATGCAAGGAAGAAAAAGCTAAATATAAAAGCCTGTTGACAGCTGGGCCCTAAGCTATGGGGAATAAACTTTATCTTGTAACATCTCTAATGCTATTTTTAAAAAAATATTTTTATCTTAACTGGTCTTTTTTTCCCTCACAGTCATTACACATATGTACGCATACACACACATTATATATATGTATGTGTGTGTGTGTGTATATACATATATACACACACACACACACACACACAACATGTACATATACATGTCTTTCATATTGAGCCATCCTTTGTAACAACAAAAATTTACCCCAAAAAATTGAAAAAAAAACATCTAATACAGTTATCCTCCCTATTAATCAATGTATTCAATCTTCCACACCTCTAGTCTCCAACCTTTCCAAGGAAAGGAGGAAGGTAGTCTAATTTGTTTCACTTGCTTTTGAGGTTTCTCAGTTCTGTCTTACTTTCCAGCTCAAAGAAATATTCCAGAAATCATGGATTGCATTAAACAATTATTTGGGAACTTGTAACCTTCGGCTAAGATAGGAAACTTGACTAAAAACAACATCAGGTCTGTTCTTAGAAACATTTCATAAGTTTACTGCAGTATATCAGGCTAGTTACACTGATTAACTTCAGAGAAGAGGTATGGTGAGGGACCTCAAGTTCATGTCAAAGGACTGTAAGGTGAAGGAATTGAGGATGTTTACTTGGGACAAGAAAAGATGTAAGAGACACTGTTTTCAAGTATTTGAAGAGTCCTTACCAGGAAGACCAATTACCTTTGTTCTGCTTTGCTTCAGAAGGGAGTAGCAGGAAGGATGGATATAAGTTTGACAAGAGCAAATCTCGGTTTGGCGCAAGGAAAAACTTCTTAATAGTTAAGAGTTTTCCAAAAGTTGAATAGGTTACCTTGAGATATTGTGGATACCCCCTCTGTGGAAGTGCTCAAAAAGAGGCAGATAACAATATCACATGTATTTTAGAGAGAATTTATGTTGTGGTTTAAGATGGACAAGGAGACCTCTCAGGCTCCTTTTAGCTCCTGATCTAGGATCCTATGTTCACTTAAAACATTAAAATATATAGTGACTGAGATGAAGGACATTACCAACTTGGGAAATAAGGAAAGACCCCTTGAAGGAGGAAACAACAAAACTGAGCCTTGAAGGAACTATGGATTCCAAGGGACAGAGATGAAAAGGGAGAGTATCCTAGTCATCGATGACAACCTCTGCAGAGACATGGAGGTGGGAGATGAAATGTTAATTATGGAGAGTAGGAAGGAGGTCAATGTGACAGTGGTAAAGAGGGAAAATTACAGAGTGAAAGATTTCAAAGTTTCAAACAGAGATATTTATATTTATGGTAAGCAGAAGGTCTTAAAATGGAGTTTGTGATGATAGACAGATAGATAGATAGATAGATAGATAGATAGATAGATAGATAGATAGATGGATGGATGAATAGATGATACCTAGATGGATAAATGGATAGATGGATAGACTGTTTCAATTTAATTGGTTTCTGTTGTAATCTTATATATTTATTGCATGCATTTATTTTTTTTTCAAAGGAATCCACAAGCTTCACCAGACTGTCACAAGGGTCCAGCCCACAGGCATGTCTTATACACAGGCACACATGTGCACGCATGCACACACACATACAGTTATGAACCCCTGACCTAAAGACTGTGAGGAACCACTCCTAGAGAAGAAAATTGATAAGATAAATTATGTTCTACCTATGCCACACTTTCCCCAAAACCCGGCACTTGAGTTATAAAGCTGCCATCTTTGCCTTTTTTTGCCTGACCAATATGGCACCGCACATGATTTAGTGGAATCCTCAGTACAGTACAGTTATTATAATACTATATACACACACACACACACACACACATATATATATATATGGTTTTTTTTTAATTAAACTTTTCTTGCATCTGATCATAATTTGAAGATGACCTGGAGTTCTCAAAATGTTTCATTTATGGAGTTCAATCTCTGACAGTTTTTAGACATAACCATTTATTTAACAATTAGGCCAAATAAATCCCACAGATATTAATATTAAAGCAAAAGGCATAGTCACAATACACATATGTCATGCTCTCTTAATACACACCATAATCTGCTATTAAATGTGCATGAAGAAACAATTTTCAAATGTCCACATTCATATGTGGACAGTTTTGAGACTGAAAATGACCTGTGCATAATTTTTGAATGTTACAGCACCTCACCTGAGAGGTGGTGAAAACTAAATACACATTAGAAGAATTTCTGACAGTTTTTAGAAAGGTGGAAAACTACTCCACTTTCCATCTCCTCTTGTACCCAGTTTCAACTCCAGGGCACAAGATGCCAAACCCAGGATAAGCTCATCATTTCTAAACTCACCATCATGATGCTAATTCTAGTCTTATTGAAAACACCTTTCTCACCCTCCCCTCTTCTCCTTGCAGGGTGGAGTACCAAATTCCTCCCAATACATTCCTTTATAGATGACAGGAACTGGATTCTGAGTTTCTCACTGCACCTTGCATCTGCTGCCCTGCCTGGTATGAAGTCCCCAGAATAAGATACTTCTTGGTGGTTTAGGTTCAAATTCTGTCTCTGACATACTGGTTGTGTGTCAAAACTCATCACTTTTTAAAGATCCAGGTCGATCTTTCAGATCTTCTGATTCAGAAATTGTCTGTCTTAAAATGAAGTGTTCCTTACTAAGAACTCTCTATAATAACAAAGTCCCAGGTATAATTCATAAAATAATCTACTTTCCTACATAAGACATATTTTCTCTGAATGTTTCCTTTATTTTTTTTCTTGATAATTAAAAATCTATGACAAGAATACATTTCATAGTGAATTTACCTGCCCTGCTTTAAGCCTTTCTTGATTCCTGTTCATTGGTATAACTTCGGAGTTTCTAAAGCTATCTTGACTCATACCCCAATTCAAAGCGAGTGAGATCACCAGTCTTTCAGAAAGCCATTGCATACCCATCCAAAATACATCTAAAACCTGAGAGGGAGGCATAATAAGACAATGCAAAGAACACTAGCTCTGCAGTCAGAAACTCTGGAATCAAATCATGCCTCTGTTTCCTCATCTCTGCCTGATGTTGAACAAGTCAGAAGTAACTTTCCTGGCCCTCAGTTTCCTCATCTGTAAGATGATGGAGTTATACTAGATGATTCCTGAGGTACCACTCAGTTCTAGAATGTGCTATGGGAGAAAATATGTAAATAAGTATGTACGCTTGAGATGTCAAGAAAGAATATGAATGGGAGCCTTAAAGTCAGTCAGTCAATACAGATTTATTAAGTGCCTGCTAAGTGCATGAGGATCAAGTATATAACATCTAGGTTGCAAGCCTGGGTGATTCAGAGAATGGTGGTGCTCTTGACAGGAAGAGGGGAGTTCGGAAGGGGATAGTGTTTGGGGGAAAAGATAATGAGTTCAGTTTGAACATGTTAATTTCAAGATGTGTATAGGAGTGGCAGCTAGGTAGTTCAGTGGATAGAGTACTGGCCCAAAGTCAGGAGGACCTGAATTCAAATCCAGCTCTAACACTTGTCACTAGCTGTGTTACCCTGAGCAAGTCACTTAACCCTGATTGCCTTGGGAGGAAAAAAGAAATGTGTCTAGGACATCCAGTTTGAGGTATCTAATAGGCAGGTGTAGATGTGAGACTGTCATTCAACAAAGATGAAGACAGGATAAGTAGATCTGAGACTCATCAGGACAGGGATGATAATTGAATTGGATATTAATTACTACGAAATAATATTGAAAGGGGAGAAAAAACAACTGGTAGTTAAATTTTCAGTGTAGGCAGTTGTACCTAAGAAATTGGCAAATGCTGACATCCAGGATTGAGTCACTGTTTTGTTGACTGTCTAGTCTTAATAAAATAATGTATACACCATTAATAAATATGAAATGTTAAAAGTTCATTGTGCATATTTGGAGACCTGATTGTTTGACATTTATCCATGTACCCTGCCTGATTACTACTATATCAGAAGAACCCTGAAATAGAAAAAAAAAATAGAAAATTTTCAACTAAACAAAAACCTTCTTTACAGTAAAGTGGACGAATGTTCTTATCCTTGTTTTTTTTTTTAATTCTCTAGGGAGATAATCTCCATCCCAAGATAGTCCATTCCACTTTTGGAGAACTTTAATTTTTAGAAAAATTTCTCAAGTCAAGCCTAAATTCGCCTTTTTTTTTTTGGTAACTTTGGCCCTTTGTTCCTTGTTCTATCCTCTGGAACAAACCAGAAAAAGTGGAAACTTCATTTAACATAATGCCCCTGGAAGCAGAAATCAAACACAATGATCAAGCTTCTCCACAAGTCTTCTTTCCTCAAGCCTAAACTCCCCAGTACTTGCAGATTCTCATAATGGATGATCTTTAGACCCTTCACAATATTGGTCATTTTCCACTTGGCACTACCTTTATATTCAAAAGTTTTTCAACAGCCTTCATGAAATGTGAGCACAAGACTTTGGATAGGATCTAATTAAGATAGAGTACAGTGTCTACTACTTGTAGTATTACGCGAGATGTCTAATGCCCCCTAAATCCATGTTGCCTTTTTCAACTGCTCTAGCTTACTATTGATGTATTTCAGGCTTATAGTCCACCTAAAACTCCATATCATTTTTAACACAATTCTAACTCATCACATCTCCCCCATCTTGTATTAATGAAGAAGAGAATTTGAAACAAAGTTTATTTATTTTATTGTTTACCTAAATCATATACCTGAGTCTCAGTTGGGTCTGAGATCAGACCCAGTTGAATTCCTGAAATGAAGGGATGATAAAATTTGCCTTTTGCTCCCGACCTTTCTTAATCCTTAGGATTTCTAGAAACATTGCCAATTTTAGGAGGAATGTTTTGAACCATCCATTCGCTTGCCATGATATGCAGTCTCTCTCACCTGCTATCACACAGGGAGTAGATTTTTCAGCTCCAGTGGTTTTCATTTAAAAAGCTGACATTTCCCCACTGCAATATTTATCTTCCTGTGCCAAGTTGTCTCCTTGTTCCTTCAGCAGGATATTGTGTCAAGACAGAATTACGGGGGAGAAAATAAATGTTACTTTTTAAATTAAAACACTCCAAAAATGATGAATTTTTGTAAAGCACTAAATCCTTTACAAAACACCTCTACCAACCCTGAAGTATTTATGGGTCAGAAAAGCTTCATATTTTACAGAAGTCACTAACATCAAGTCTAATACTTACTTCCCTGGTCAAAAGTTTATTGAAAACCACAATGAAAATTAAAAGAAAGATCTTTCCATTGTCTAGGGAATTTCTAGGTAACATGAAATGACGATAATACAACTCAAAGTTCAGTTAGATCTCATCAGCCTGCACCATGTATGAGGGACTATTTTGTTGTCAAGTGGACAAACTCTACTTGGCATCTATTTGGCAGATATAGGAAATATGGAAGAGAAACAGATGTAAAGGGACAGATGTCCAATTAATTTGACATCTGCAATGATAAGATTTTGTCATCTTTATCATCTTGCAAAACGCAGTATGTACCGCTTTCAAGCTGTGTCTATGTGATAGCATGGTGACTGGTTGAAAAGTGAGAAATTAATTCAGCTATCCAGATGTTGGGCCTATGTATATGTATGTGCCTATGTATAGATAGATACAGATATGCTTCATGACCCCATTTGGGTTTTTCTTGGCAGTGGTTTGCCATTTTATTCTCCTATTCATTTTGCAGATGAGGAACTGAGGCAAACATTGTTAAGTGAGTTGCCCAGAGTCACACAGATGGTAAGGTTCTGAGGTCAGATTTGAACTCAGGAAGATGATGATTCTTGACTTCAGGCTCATCTTTATCCACTACACACACCTGATGCCCCACCTGACAGGTTTCTATTGGGTAGGTAGGTGCCACAATGGATTGAAAACCAGGTCTGAAGTCAGGAAGACTCCTCTTCTTGGGTTCAAATCTGGTCTCAGACACTTACCAGCTGTGTGACCCTGGACAAATCACTTAACCTTATTTGCCTCAGTTTCCTCATCTGTAAAATGAGGTGGAGAAGGAAATGGCAAACTACTTCCTTATCTCTGCAAAGAAAACCCCAAGTAGGGTCATAAATAGTTACACGTGACTGAAAAATGACTTAACAACAGCAACTACATATACACACATATGCATACACATACACAGGTACACACCCATATACAAATAATAAACACATATATATGCATATATATGTATATATACACATAAGTCAGTTCTCAAATTTTATAGGGGTAACATTTCTAGAAAATTGTGAAAAAGTAAAAAAAAAAAAAAGAATATGGATACATTGAACCTACAGGAAATAGAAGGTTAGGTTACTGAGACCATCAAATCTATAACCTTTCCCTAGAGATTGCTGTACTACTAGTAAGGAAAAAAACAAAGTTTGGGCAGCTAGGTGGCACAGTGGATAGAGCACCAGCCCTGGAGTCAGGACAAACTGAGTTCAAATCTGGACTTAAACACTTGACACTTAGTAGCAGTATGACTCTGGGCAAATCACTTAACCCCATTGCCCAGCCAAAAAAAAAAAAGTTTTGCATATTACCAATTTTATTTTGTGTACTTAACTTTCTGGGTTATTTCATCATTACTATGTTAGGGAAAGTACATATTACTAGAATTAATGTTTTATTATGAAGAACTGCATGTAGAAAAGTAGAGCTGCTCATGTGTGTCAGTGTGTCTGTTCCACTGACTTCCTAAATGAAGGTTTCTAGGTATGAAGGGACAAACTAGAGCATAGAGAAGACCTTGGGAGATGTCCTTCCCCTCTTTGGGTTCCTAGCAAAGCTATATCTCTCCCCACTGGACCCCCACTCTTGTCCTACATCTGCCTCACTCCTTGGGAAGGAAGAAGGAAGCCAGACTATTACAGCCAGCAGTGACCATCTTGCCTCAGATATTCACTGAAATGCCCAGGAGTAGTTGCTGGGTGACCCTGATTTGACACAAAACTTGAATTTTGAAGGCAAATAATGAAATATGGGAAGATTATACAGGGAGTTCTTTATTCTGTAATAGTAAGGTGAACAAGAGCAGTGAAGTACCTAGTAGGATACCAGCTGTTCCACAAACTTGCAGGCACCAAGTCTGTCTGTCTGTCTGTGTCTCTCTCCCTCTCTCTCTACTATGCATAGCTGTGTTGCCAACATGAAAATGAAAATGAGGTTACTAATAAAATCATGGGAATGCTTGACATTTTGAACATTAACTGTAGGAATGTTGAGGATTGACTGTATATGCATGTCTGTGTGTGTGGGGGAATATTTTCCATGATAGTTTAAATGTTAATCACTTGCCTGAGAAACAACTTTATGATTGCATTTTCCAATTTTAATTCATTTTCTGGCACTTTGTGGACTCAAACTTTGCCACCCTAAGAGTGCGATGAGAATTAAAAATTTAGCTTTCTAGATTCAGACTTCCATTGCTGTAAAGGCTGTAATTCCCCTTAACTATCTCTATTGATTTGGTAGAAGATACAGAAGTCATTCACTTAGATGGAATTTTAGATAGATTTCCTCTTTGGTGATATCATATATGGAGAATATGAATCAGGAAGACCTTGGTTCCATTTCTGCCTCAGACATTTTATGCCATTATGAACTGGGGATCTCACTTTAACTTCATTTAACCTCAGTTTTTTCATATGTAAAATGACATAATAATATTACATACACAATTGTTCTGAGGATCACATGTAATAACATTTGTAAAGTGTTTTGCAAAGTGTTATATAAATGTCAGCAATTATAAACCATATGATTATTATCAACAATATAATTATGATCATTGTCACCATCACCACCGCTACCACCACCACCACATTCTCATTCCTGAGCAGGATTCTGATAGAAATGTTTCTGGGAAGAAGTCACAACCCCTCTACAATCTATGTTTAATGGTCTACAAATGCTTGCAAAGGTAGATGAAATAAGTCCTTTTGTAGTTATATTAAAGTATTTGGACCTTGTCTCATTTTCTCTAGACTCCCTGGAAACAGTAGAGATGATATTTATGGGATCCTGTGTAGACATTATTTTAGTCACCTGTTCTATGTCTTTTTATTTTTACAGGGTTTTACAGGGTTTTCTGCTATTGCATTTAGCTTGAAGATTATGAGCATTTGTAGAAACAGTATCTATTATTATAAGTTCAACTGCTTTACTCTAGTTATAAACTACTTTGTAGAAGAAGTTCATTAGATTAAGCCCTCAAGGACTGAAAATATACTAGAAATTACCAATTTCAAACTAGTTATTTTATTTTCTTATTTTTAAAGCATCTATAGTTTTGATCTCTTTTGTTTTTGACATAACAATTATTTTCAAACTTATTGCAATGTTTTCCACCCCCTTTTTCCACCTAAATAAGGCTTATCTGTTAGCTGAGAGAAATTTAGCACAACCAACCACGTGACTATATCCTAGTGTCTCCCCCCGTTTCTATGGGGAAGTGGGGAATACTTCCTTATTTCTGTATGGCCAAAAGTGATTATTACATATCATTACATATCACATATTATGCTTGGCGCCACTTGGTGGCATGCTTGATAGAGGGCTGGACCCTGGAGCTAGGAAGCCTCACTTTCCTGAGTTCAAATCTTGGCCTCAGACACTTACTGGGTAAGTCACTTAACCCTGTTTGCCTCAGTTTCCTCATCTATAAAATAAGCTGGAGAAAGAAATGGCAAACCACTCCAGTATTTCTGCTAGGAAAAACCAAAATGGGGTCATGAAGAGTTGGACATGACTAAAACAACTGAAGAACAATGAATAGCTAGGTAGCATACTAGATAGATTGCTGGACCTGGAGTCGGGAATATTTGTGTTCAAATATGAACTCAGATACTTACCCTGGCAAGTCAGTTAACTTCACTTTCCTCAACTGTAAAATGTAATAATAGCACCTAACTCCTAGGGTTGCTGTCAATATCAAATGAGGTAAAAATTGTACAGCACTTAGCAGAGTGCCTAGCACATACTGGATGCTATATAAATGTTAGCTATAATAGTAATTATTAAAAGGTGTTCACACATTTATGCAGAAAAAAAAACCTATGAAAATGCCCTCACCCAAGGGTCATGTTAGCACACAAGGTCCTTCAGAGTTCAGTGTTTCTGGAGATCATGTGAAGAAATAAATAGAACATTGGAGAGGGAGTCAGGTAAGCTGGCTTTGATTCGCAGCTCAGCTTCTTGCTCCTTATTTGACCCCTGCAAGTCACTCCATTTTTTCTTTTCCTCATTTTTAAAATGAGGGGTTTTATAAATAACCTTTAAATCCCCTTCTGCTTCTAAGTCTATGATCCTTTGGTGTTAGTTACATATCAAAATACTCACCATATTTTATCTTAGTTGTTTATTCCCCAGAGAAATGGATAAAAAATTACTTAGGCTTCTCTATTTGGGATGATGATGATGGTGGTGAAAATGATGATGAAGATGGTGAAGATGATAATTATTATTACATTTAAAAAAAACCATAATCAAACTGCAAACATATAGGCATGGCTACTTTAGGCATATAGGTATCCCAGAAAAGAATCAGCAGCATACAGGGACATGTGTAAGCTCCTCAGTGCGGCAATGTGATCCATCATATAAAATGTCATGTCAGAATATATGTTTGAAACTGGCATGTTCTGCAAGAAAGAGTGAGCTTTCTGGGCAAATGTGGCATAACTGGTTTGTATCAGGCCATGTGAAAATCGTGGTGAGGGGTGGTGGAAGGTGGTCTGGCAATTAAACTTATGAATTGTTGTCCAAATTTTTAAATATCCTTAATAAAATGTATTAAAGGGTTTCCCCCTACCTGATGTTTAACTTCAAGGTAAATGGTATGCTGGAAAGAATACTGAATTGGGAATCATAAGCTTGGGTTCCAGAAGACCACATGGTACATGAGAAAGAGCATTGGTTCTAGAGACTGAGGTTCAAATCTCATCTCAAATACTGATGACCCAGGTAACCTTGGATAAGTCACTTTGCCTAAGTCCCACTTTCTCTAGTGGTAAAATGGGAAATTTGGACTAGGTACCTCTGAAATGATTTCTAGATCTCAATCAATAATATTAATCCCAGCTCATTATTCTAATATGAATAATATTCAGGCCTTTTGTATATTATTTTCCCCATCTATAAAATGAGATGGACTATATAATTCCTGAAATCTCACCTACCTTAAAAACTTGGTGACCCTAAGAACATACATCCTTTTGCTTCTTTATATTTCTGCAAAGCGATCACAATGTTTGAGCCTCAATACATCTCTTTGAAGCATATTGTGTCAATATTATTACTGTGCTCCCCTTAAGAAAAAAAGAAACAGAGGTTTTCATCTATTTGTGTGTGTTCACACAAATAATAAATGAGGAGCCAGACCTCAAACATAAACTCTCTGACACCAAGCTCATGACTCTTAGAAATACACCTTGATGAACTGATCCCATAAATGAAGTACGATGTATTAGAAATGGCCAAAGTGGTTGTATTCAGACAATCTGTAGAACATCCTTCTTCATCTCTTATTCATCAAATAATTGAAGAGAAAGTAATTTAAGATGGTGATAGAAGAATCTATCTAGTTGTCGGTATCTACTAGACATGTGGTCATGGGTGAGTTGTTTAACCAATCCGATTGTCAGTTTCTTCATCTACAAAATGAAAATAATGTCTATTCCATCATCACAATATATTGAAATGACTATAGCACATATTCATATATATATAAATATGCATACATATGTGTGTATGTGAAGGAAAGTTACCTAGTATCTTCGCCAAGAAAACCCCAAATGGGATCACAAAAAAGTCAGACATGATTGAAATGACTGAACAATATATAACTATATCCATATCCACAGTTATATAGATATAGCTATACATAAGTAACTACATAATACTTTAAAATCAAAGTACTGTATTTATTAGTTTTTGGTTAACTGAGTAGTCTTCTTTTTGTTAAAAATAGGATAAGGCTATTGCTGCCATATTTCATACTTTCAACCTTTAGAAGGAATTATTTTGGTAGCCTCATATGTAATACACAGACACATCTATATACACATATATACATATATACACATATATACGTGTGTGTGTGCGCACACATGTGCTCTCTAGTATTTCTTCCTAGGAAAATAAACTGTATATTTATCTTTCCTTCAAGTACTAAATTCTAAGCTTCTAAATTGACTTTCTTTAGCATCTTCAATTATGAACAATGTATTTCCTATTTCCTAAATCCTCTCCTTTATCATCATAGATGTGGTCTTAATTTGTTGATAGCATTGAGTATATAGTAATTCATTCTTTCCATCTTGGAAGCATTACAGGAATTGGACATGTAATTTCATTGTGTATATAGGAAGCAACCTGGTGAGAAGTTCCCTCTGCCAATTCCAGTCTGTGCTTTCTCCATAAGTTATTATCTTAGAGTGGTCTACAGAACTAAGAAGTTGTGACTTCTCTGGGGTGATACGAAGGATATGTACCAAAGGCTTGAACACACATCTTCCTGGCTTTGAGGTCAGCTCTATCTATTCCATGATCCTACCATTTTACCTAAATCCCTAAGTGAATATTGAAGATTTTTTTCCTAGTTTCCTGCTTTTTTTCACTTTTCTTGATCATTTGAAAGGCGTACCTATTAATGAGGGAACAGAGGGAGCAGTGCATCATGTGAAAGGAAAATTACACTTGCTTTGTTTGGCCCCCAAAAAACAAAATTAGAAGCAATGGATAAAAAGTAGCCAAATGGCAACAGTGTATTGGGTGAAGGACTTAGAATCAGGAACACTCAAATTCAGATCTGGTTATGGTCCCCTACTAACTTTGGTACCCTGGGCAAATCACAGAACCACCGTCTGCCTCTATTTCTTCATCTTTAAAAAAAGGGAATAAAAGAGCACCTATCTCTCATGGTTGTTGTGAGTGTAAAATGAGATAATAATTATAAAAGGCTTTAAAGAACTTAAAGTGCCATACGAACTATTAATAAAAGTTGTAGAAAATTGGGTTTTGATCCAATCTAAGTAAAGTTCTGTTTAACAATTACCAAGGAAGATAGATAGTAGATGTTTCCTCACTAACATTCTTGAAGGAGAATCAGTGTGACAACTTTTTCTTTTTCCTTGGGGGTTGGGGTGTTGTAGAAAAGATTCTGATCAGTAATGAGCTGCTTGGACGAGATGGCTTCTGAAGGCCATATTTGGTATTCTCTAACTCTGTGCTGTCTAGTGGTGAATCACTTGTGCAATATCACTTTCATGCTGAGTATACCATGAAAAGAGGATTTCTTAACCATTACGAGTGTACAAACACAGGAAGCATTCCTTTGGTACATCCTAGGATGTTGCTGCTGCAATAGGCAGCAGGGAAGAGTGGATTTTCAGAGACAAAGGAAGAGAAGAGAACAAAGAATTTTCTGTCTCACTTTGCTTCTCTATTTCTCTGTATCAGCTTCTTTGATTATCTCTCTGTCTCCATCTCTCCATATCTGTCTCTGTCTGTCTTCTAAGGAGATGTAACAGCACAAGTACTTGACCATCACATACCTCAAAATGAAAGCCCACACTTTGCAACCTCTTCAAAACATGCTTCAAAATCAAATTTTGTGAATTGGACAAATTGCTTCATGCTTCACAGCCTCAGCTTTCCTTATCTATTCAATGGAGACAATAATGACCATCCTGTATTATATACACCAGAGAGTGGTTGTGAGGGTCAAATGAGATCATGCACTTAAAATGCTTTGCAAACCTAAAACCACTATAGAAATGACCTTTCATTGCCAATATCTATATACCTCATTCACATTTTGAAAGCATTTTACATGCATCTTTAACTGTCAAAAGTATTATTAATCCTGTTTTACAGAAATGGAAACTGATGATCTGAGACATGAAATAAATAGCCTAGGGCATGCATCTAGGCTATTATGTCCAGCCACATTTTTTTCCCCCAGAAATGTAATTTCATCCATAACTTATAGTTTTATAGAGTTTCAGTGATGGGTCACATAGTCAATAAATGTTAGCAGTGAGACTTAAGTCTCTATTCACTGTGCTTGTTGATCTTGCATGTGTAAAAGACATCAATCCACATGGCATACTAATATTGAAATCCATAGAACTATCTACCTATGGGCATTTGATAGTTATAGTTTATTCTATCTCCCACCGTAGAATGTTAATTCCTTGAGGGAGTTTGCATTTTATTGTCTGTGTTCCTAGTGGCTAGCATAGTGGCTAACAAATAATAGGCACTTCACCCATCATTGATTGTTTAATGGATAGCCAATACCTATTTAGCTCTTTAAAGCTTATACAAAACAAACAAATGTTTTAAGTAATTGCTATTATATCCATTTCTTGATTTAAATACATACTAAGATTAAGAAGATCTGAAGCTTAGAGAAATTAAATGATGCCCCCATGTTAACACAGCTAACTAGCTTATATGTTTTACTCCTGATTTTATCACGGGGTTTTGAACCTAGCCATTTCGCATTCTAGGTTCAGTAATAGAATGACTAAACCACCTGGTTTTTCATACTAACCAGATAATTCTATCTGAAATGTCAGAGTGAAGCTAGACACAGTCACAATTCATTCTTGAATAGTATTTTTTTTTTCTGAACGAACATTATCATTGTGAAAATGCATGGAAAATATCCCTAACTGAAAAAAGGTAACCAAAGAGTCACCAAGGTCACATGGAAAAGATATGCTCTGAATACCAATATATCTCTAGCTAGAGCCCAAGGATCGTTTTTATCTCATCCTGTGTTGTGGAAGACTAACTTGGATTATTTATCCAAATTTACCCCATTGACCACTAAGATGATATCATATTTCCATGTTGGGTATGGAACTTCAAGGATTATACATAAAGGAAACCTCTTGAAGTCATAGGACTTCCCTTTCAGTAATAAGAGGCCCCTCCAAGGCTTCCAAATGTTTACCTTATAAACCACCTTCAGTCTGTCACTTACAATTTCTGTTTTCATTATAAATCAGCAGCAAAATGTGCCGACTGTCTGTGCTGCAGTAAAACACAGCTGTTTCCATTTGCTCTCCCATCAGATTCATTCTCTCATTGTTCTGTGGGGGAATTGAATTGGGCCATTTTGTATCTCAGTTACAAGGAATACTTCCGCTTCTTAGTGGCAGACAGACCTTAATCCATCCTTAATCTCCCTTACCTTTGTGGTTCCCAACAGCCCAATACTGGATTACTTTGTTATCTCTCTCTCTCTCTCTCTCTCTCTCTCTCTCTCTCTCTCTCTCTCTCTCTCTCTCTCTCTCTCTCTCTCTCTCTCTCCTTATCCTATCCCCATGTGTGTGTGTGTGTGTGTGTGTGTGTGTGTGTGTATATATATATATATATATATATATATATATATATATACACATATATGTATAACCTACCTTCCTTCCTTCCTTCCTTCTTTCCTTCCCTTCCTTTCTTCATTTAAAAAAAATTCATTTAATCAAGATTTAATTACAAGGAAGGAAAAAATCTTAGAAATATGTACTTCTATAGCTGCAATAAAGTTTAGAGATCATCCAGTACAAAATATACCTAAACCTTTGACCTAACTAGAAAGAATTATGGAGAAGAGCTGCCTTATTGAAGGGTTTCAATTGCAATACACACATGCTTTATATGTATACAAACACATTCAAGTTCAAGTATATATACACGTGTATAGTTTGATTTAATTTATTCTATTTAAATGTGTATTATTCAACTACGTTTAAAAATCATATTCAGAGACAGAGAGAATTACTTTCTATAAATTTGAGCAACTCTCTTTTAAGTAGCTTTCAAAATAGAAGACAATCATTTGTAATTAGTATGTTCACCTGCATGCAAATTCTTGAAAGCAGTTTGTGGCATTTTACTCTTGTCAGATTAAACATTCCCATTATTTACTTAGCACAGACACACACACACACAGTTCTCCTTTTTTTAAGCTGAAAAAGTCTAGGACCTGATAATTGCCAATTCACAATTGTATTGTTGATGCTTTTTGTCCTTCATTCTAAAAGAGGACCAGAGACTTCAGGAAGGTGATGTCTTAACCTTCAGGTGAATTGGATTTAAGTGAGGCAGGGCTATGCAAAGTCACCATCACACTCTCCTTCAGAGCCATCTCGGTCCACTGACAAGATATAAATCAGGACCACAGGAGATGGCCCTAGAAGGATTGGGAGACCTTGCTCTTTTTAACCTAAGGTCTTTCCCAGGTCTCAGTTGACTGAGGTAAATTCCATTCAGTGATTAAGGCTAGGTAAGAAATGAGGTAAAGAATGTCCTCTTTTACCTAGTCAAAAAAAAAGAATCAATCCAGGAGGGGAAGACCCTCAGCCTTTCTGGCCAAAACAGAAACAGTTGCTGTTTACACTCACTCTGAGCCATCCAAACCCAACAATGAGCAAGTGAATCTTGGGCTGGGACCTACTATTGGCCAATCAGTGAGAGCCGGGGGTGATATGGATTCAAGGCAAAATTTTTAAAAAATGGTAGCATAATTAGAGATGAGTGAAAAAGAAAAAAAAAAGAAATGTAGCCCAGAAACCCCAAGATATCTTACAAGGTTTCAGCAATCAAAATCACAATTACATACATTTGTGTCAGATAGTGTGACATAGATACTGTCCCATAATACAGTTAAGAAAACATGGATTGCAGTCCTAATACTTACTAATTACTAACAAAACTACCTCAAGTAAGCCATTTAATTTCTCTCTGCAACAAGTATGTAGGACTTATTATCTAAACCATATATTTGTATCCATAGAAGACAGTTTGACATACACCATTTTGTCCTCATGCTTCCAAAACCACAAGTCCTTCTGGAGTTTTGGATACAACCATTCTGGGGGCTAGCCCATTTTAATTTGCGTATATCTGCATGTGTAAGAAAGAAACTGGGACTCCTGAGACAGTATGTGGTACTACAGATTCAGACATCTTAAGCTGTTGTCTGATCCAAAGTCCTCCCTTCATTCACATAAAATATGAATACTCTCATTTGCAGATTACATTTTGAAGGCCTGAGACCTTAAGGGGCCTCACCATGGACAAAGGTAGTTACTCATAGAGCCAGGATCAGAAATCTTGTCTTTCTGCTCTGATGCCTAGTGCAGTGTTTTCAATCTCTTCCCTCACAGCATACAAATACATACACCCTACCCCTCCCAAATACTGGCAGAAATGATTTGGCAAAATTTCTTGAAACTCCAGTCTCAAAGAAATTCAAATGCAGAAAAGAAGAGAGACAAAATAAGCAAAAGAACAGGGAATGTTAACAGTGAAAAAAGGACATTGCTCAAAAGTCAGTGCTTTTATACTTGGTCTATTTTTAAAGCTGCTCAATGTAGATCCTGTCATCAGGAATGCTACTTGACAGATGAATCTGTCACTAAGATAAAAGATAAACATGTTTGTTTTTTTCAAAGTATCCTAAGAGAAACCGCCAAAGCCCCAGGCCAGTAATAGGAATTTATCTGAAATAAGATCTGGTAAAGCCCCATTAATATTTTGGAGATAAAGTTCTTTATTTCCTTATCCCAAATTGCAACAGCAATAGAGGTTTAAAGGACATGCTATTTATTTGCAAATAGTATTTTCCCACTGTTATAGGAGGCAAAGGAAAAAGAGATGACTTTAAGTGTTTAGAAAAAAAAATCAAAGTGGTAAGCTGACGCCATTATTCGGATCATCTTATGTACTTGGAGGCTGGAATGATTGCAGAGAAATTAAAGTATTTTAATAATCATCTAATTGGACATTCCTTGATTTTCCTCTGTAGCAAATACTGAAATTAACTTCCCCCGGTGCTATCTACAGCCCCATTTAGGTACATTCATGCACATTAAAACTATATTGAAGGCTAAATGCATCCAAATAAAAAGTGATTTTTGACTATTGAGTCTGCATGGAATATTAATGAATCTTAATTCAAGTGCTTTACTTTCCCCCTGCTTTTATGCTCTTTAAAGTGTGGTTATGGTTTGAGAAGTGACTGTAAAAACGACATAATGGAATTCTGCAGTCATTCTCTCAAGAGTCTTCCAGATCAAATTTATTTAGTTGTCAAATTAAAGGGTATTTTCTTTCATAAATGCCTATGATAGAATTCATAATCACAAATTCTCAGAGCCAGAAGAGAAGTTGCCATCTAACCTAGACCAGCATCATAATCATCTTTATTACCTATCCAACACATGACCATTTAGCTTTGACTTGAAGGTATTAAATCATGGGGGGTCCCATTATATATAAGGCAGCTCATTTTGCTCATGGATAACTGATTGTTCAGAATTTTTTTAAAATTTGTTTTTGCTTATTTGGAGTCAAAATTTGTCTCTCTGCAACTTTCAAGCCTGGCTTCCAGGTCTACCCTATTGGGCCAAGCTGAACAAGTCTCATCTGTTTTCTATAAGAGAGTTGTTCGAACATAAGAACACATCATGTATGTAGATCTCTTACATAAATGGTAAAAGAATTTTCATCTCCATGAAAGCACTTATAATAACAATACACAGACAAGAGACAGAAACAACAAAAGACACAGAGATGGAGAAATGGAGACAATTACACACAAAGGGAACGTACAAATTTGTAAACTATGAAAGCAGCTTTCCTTTCTTTTCTGGTGAGTCCTACCTCACTCAAGGATCTATGATTGAAGCCCTGACCATTCTCCCCAAAACTGGGAATTACTGGGGAGTGCAGATGATTGTCGAACCCCGTGACCCTTGGTTTTTTAATACTCACAAAATTGAGGGGCAAGGCACATGTTTGCTCCTTTTCACCATTGCTGTTGCTCCTTGCTTCTCAACTCCAGCTCTTGTCAGTTGTTAGAACTTCTCTTCTGTTCCAGAGATTTGTTTAGAGAATTCTTCCAGTTGCAAAAGAATTCCTTCATTATTCTGTCATTGCCAGTTTTGTGACTAATTAGTTCCTCCCCTGAAGGGGCTACATGATTCACTGGAGCATATGGTTTCCTTGAAAGTTTGTGAAGCTGATGGGGTTGTGGGACTGGACCCCCTAAAGAAAAGATTATGAGTTTGGAAGCAAGCCAGTTCTGGAATTTTCCCACACATTTCAACAGCCCAGATCACTGGTGCCTCTACCCAAGGCAACTAGCCCACCTCAGCCCATTTAGATTACTTAATTAGTTTACTTAATACTCCTTACTCCTATCTAGATCTTTTCACTGTTGCACCTGTCCCCCTCCCCCCCAGACTATTTACGTCTCCTTAATCCCATCCAAATATTCTCACAGTCTTTTTTTTTTTTGGTATAAAAGTATCAGTTTCACCCCCATTAATTCGCATATATGCTAGAAATCTGCCCACCAAGCTGGTGGTACAATAAACTTTGACTAGAAGGCTTGAGAGGTAAAATTCTTTCAAGGCAGACCTCCCTGTAACCTTACCTCTCAGGGTTCCTAGCACCCTAAACCATATCAAAGCTACATGAGCTTTCCAGTAGGGAACTGAAATTTGTGTGAGTCCAGCTGACTCTTTTCTTACCATGTCAACTACCTCAGTGATAAACTTGAATGACTCTCTATTACACTCAGGATTAAATATAAAGTCTTCGATTTGGGTTTATTTAAAGCTCTTTAAAACTGGGATAGTACTATTCTTATAATAGCACAGTGCCTAACAGGTCGCATAGTAAGTGAAATAAGTGAAGTAAGAAATTTTTAATTTTGAACAGGACTGAACTTGCCTTTCTTAAATATCTTTACTCTTTGGGTATGAGGCCAATTCATATTCCCTAAAAGAAAAAAAAATTCATGACTCAGTGAATCATCTTCAAAGTAGCAGCAATAAAGAACCATATCACGTCTAAATTTTCTCTCGATGATAAATTGTAAGATGGAATGGTCAGATTACCCCCTATTTCCTATTTCTAATACAGCAAATAGACCCTCTTTATTGATGAGAATCAGGTCCAAAACAGCTGTTTCCACCTTTTAATTTCTTCAACTTTTGAAGTTATTATTGTTACTATTATTAGTTAATGAATACAATAAATTAGTGGATTTTTGCTTTTGGCTAAGAAGAAGCTCCAGCAAATTCACAGATAATGGAAGATTTTGCTCAGTACCATGCTTTGTCTTATTTCCTTCTTTCTGTTTCCCATATTCTTCAATTCACCTGTTTCATCCTTCTATTCTAATGCTCTGTAATATCCACCAATGACAATATTGTTTCTATTTCTTTATACTTGCCACCAAACATTACCCCCTCTGGACTTCATCCTCTTCCAGAAATTCCTCTTCTAAGATTACTAAACCTTGGAACTCACACTTTACCAGTACCCTCTGCCCCTGTTGCTCCTCTCTTTTCAGAGTATTGATAGCTTCTCCCATATCCTCCATTTAAGGAAGGCCCACAGACCAGCCATCTCTTTTTTTTTTTTCCCAGCAGGATGTACTCTTCACTTCATCATCGTATCCTATACCAGGTACTAACACACCCCCCCCCCTTCAACTTTGTTTTCTATTTTTGTCTTCTTCATTCAAATATGAGCTCTTTGAGGGTGGGGATTGTTTTTCTTTTTCTTTTTTTGCTTTCATTTGAATATGCAGGGATTAACACAATGGTTGGCACATAGTAAATGCTTAATAAAAGCTTATTGACTGACTTTCTGCCTCTAATGATCTTTATCAAATTGATTTTCTCATATCAGTTTATCTCCTTCATACGCAATCCTAATTCATCATTGCGCGTAACTGCCTCTGTATATTTCTACACTTTTAAATAATGTATGCCCTTCCACAGTCTTGTTATACTCATGTTCCCTACACCATCAAGTCTCAGAGATATCACCAACATTCCAAATGTATCTGTCATCTCATGATCTTTATCATGTTCTCTCACAATTTTTTCTCAGGGCAGGGGTGCAGGATGTAGGAGGAGTAGTGTCTTCTTAATATGATAGAAGGTGTTTTTTTCACAATCTTTTTTCTTCTCATGTAAATGTCAGCTGAACATAAAAGCTATTCACTTTTTTTCTTTTACTTCTTCCTTATTCTCTCTAAGTTAAAACATACATCCTTCCCTTAGAAACTCTACTTCAACTTTGTTTTACTGTGTACATTTGTTTAAAGACATCTGAGACCATGCATTTTATTGTTGTCTTTTCCTTTTTGTTTTTCTTCATGAAATTTGGACCATTTTGTGATTAAATTCTTACTATTTCTAGGTTTGTTGTCTTCAATTTTATAGATATAAAGTTTTCTCCCTACCCATTTCATTTCAGTTTAATCTCATTTTACTTAGGTTTGAAACAGCCCAGGAAAATACAGTTTAAAAGTACCTTTGTAGGTATATCTCATCCTTGGCCTAGAGTGCACCATTCCTATATTTTATTCTATGTTCCAATAAACTTAAAATCTTTTTTCACTCAGTATCCTCTTAACCATCTTAAAAGCAAAGCAGACAGCATAAGTAAAGTGTTTTTCAAATCTTATAGCACTATGCAACTGTTTTATTATTATTGGCAATGGTATTAGTATTAACAGGTGACATATTGGATAGAGCTCTGGACCTGAAGTCAGGAAGATTTGAATTCAAATCCAGCCTCAAACACTTTACTAGCTGTGTAATCCCTGGGCAAGTCACTTAAACTTCATTTGCCTCAGTTTCTTAATCTGTATAATAATGATAATAATAGCACCTACCTCCCAGGTTTGTTGTGAGGATAAAATGAGATAACAATTTGTAACACAGGAAACAACACAGGAGGTACCACTGGAGGTGGAGGTTTTGGGCTCCAGCCTCTGACAGGTTCACTCTTTATCTGAGCAGCCAGAAGGACAAGCAGACAGCTTCAGGGGGGTTAAATAATATTTTATTCTTCTCTGTCTCAGTGGGTTCCTGATAATGGGAACACCAGCTCCTACAGGATCCCCTAATCACTGTTCACACAGGGGCAGGTGAGAAGGGGGGACAACAACCCTTGTGTCTCCATGGGGGCTAATGGAGACAGGCACAGCATTCCAGCTTGTGCACTTCCCTAAATTCCTCCAAGCCTCAATGGGGGCCAGCTGAGGCAGAGACAGCATTACGTTGTCATATTCCGCCAATGCCCACTCACTGACCAGTGCTCTCTTGATTCATAGAGAAGTACACAGGAAGGCAATTTGCCAACAATAAGCTCACAGGTTAACTTTAGCAATATCATCATAACTTAGCGCAGTACAAATGTAGTAAATATTATATTATGTCATCCCTGTATCTCACTGCACAGTCACAGTAGAAACTATTTGGGCCATGGGCCTGGGAACTATCATCTGTGATACTTAGTAGACTGTTTTGGCCATGGATTCTGGGAACTGTTATCTAAAAAAAATAACACAATCCTCCTTACTTACACAATTGTAAAGTGATTAGCAGGTGCTATATAAATGTTAGTTATTATTATGGTTGCTGGTATTTTGTTTCAATTCCTCCTTGTAATACTATTCTCCTTCATTTCACTCACCTTTTCGGGAACCTGACTGTTTCAAACTTGATTCTATGCACTTGCACGGCCCTTCCCCCTTCATTGGAACACCTATTTTCCATACCTCCACCCCTTAGCATTCCTGATTCCTTCAAGGCTTATCTCAAGTACTGCTTTCTACATGAAATCTTTCCTGCCCCTACATAGATATTTTCTTTTGAAAACTACCTTCTATTCACTGTGTATATGATTGATACTCACTTGTACCTGTGTATGCTTCCAACCATGATATGACATAATATTTTTAAATGGCAAAGGCTTTTGATTTACACTGGGAAACATGCAATCTGTAACACAGGGGAATAAATCATATTCATAGACATTCAATCCAAAGAAGTCCCACCTGGATCCATTGGATTACACTGACCATGGACAAAAACCTCTGTGGAGGGGTGGCGATACAATGAAGGAGAAAAGGCAATGACTTCCCTGAGCTCTGCCCCAAACCCCTCCAAACACATTTAAATAACGCCATAAAATAGTTGCTAGAGCAGCAGAACCCACAAAAGGACAGGGTGAAATAATCTTTCAGCCAAAGAACTACTTAGAAGTCCAAGAAAAAAGATCTCTCATACCTGGGTGAGAGTGGAGCACAGTCTAACGTAAGCCATGCCAGTGTAGCCCAGGCCCCAGCAAACCAAGATCAGGCCTTGAAAGCTACTGAATCATTAGCAATGCTGCTTCTTTGACAGGAGATTACAGGGGACTCTAGTAGCACTGAGACAGGACTCTGTTGCTTTACCCATACTTGAATCTGGATGGCAATCCTAGGTGGCAGTCTCAGGGCAAGGAGGAGCCCTAGCACACCAGAGCTTGTGGCTGCAATGGAGCAGGGACCCTCCTCACAGTTCCAGGGCAGAAAAGAGGGCTTGTGGTCACTCCCAGAAAACAGACCAGGAGAGTAGGAAATATACCTGTCTTTTGATCATGCCACCTTGGAAAAACTGAAAACTTAAAGGTCCCTAGAAGTATTTCTAAAAATGGCTTCATAAACCCCTAAAGCTTGAGACAGTGTGCCTCCACACTGGAAGCACAGCCCTACTTAAAAAAAAAAAAAGAGTTAAAAGTCAAGAAATAAGCTGAGAAAATGAGCGAATAACAGAAAAAAAGTCTGACTATGAAAAGTTACTGCAGTTACAAGGAATATCAAAACACACACTCAGAAGATTAACAAAGTCAAAGCTGTATCCCAAAAGAGATTAAAAAAAAAAAGAAAGGGAAAGGACCTATGTGTACAAAAATAGTTATAGCAGCTCTTTTCTGGTGTTAAAAAATTGGAAATTGAGGAGATGCCCAGTAATTGGGGAATGGCTGAACAAATTATGGTATGTGA